TCAAACCGTCTATTTTTTTCTGTCTGTCTGTCGGTTTGTCCGATAATTTTTGAGTCAAAAAATGGAGGTAGATACTCAACTGCTAAGAAATCTACTGCTATAGCTCAACTGCTATGTTGTAACTGCTATTGTTTCAACTGCCATAAATGGCTCTTCTGCTATGGATCAACTGCTATATCCATAGCAGAAGAGCCAGTCATAGCAGTTGAGACACTAGCATAGCGATCATCCCCATAGCAAATGAGATATAGCAGTAGAGATATATACCAGCCTTCTATTTTTTCTGACTGTTTATCTTTTCGTCTGATGATTTTTGAGTCGAAAAGTGGCAAGTATCAAATAAAACTCTTGACACATAAAAAAATCAGAACTGTCGTAAAATGTGATGCCAAGTCCGCAAACACTAGATCTCACTGACTACAGTAACCCGCCACAAAATCAGACCCCATTCCTTCCAGAAGCCACAAGTCATCACCACTTCCAATGGAGCCCCAATCTACACGAAGACGGCTGTTCTAACAGCTGGTCGTCGTGGCCCAATGCTCATGCAAGACGTCGTTTATATGGATGAAATGGCCCATTTCGACCGGGAGCGTATCCCCGAAAGAGTCGTCCATGCCAAGGGAGCAGGTGCCCATGGATACTTTGAAGTGACACACGATATCACCAAGTATTGCAAGGCTGATATCTTCAACAAGATTGGAAAGCAAACTCCTCTTCTCATCCGTTTCTCCACTGTCGGTGGTGAATCTGGATCTGCTGACACTGCTCGTGATCCTCGTGGATTCGCAATCAAATTCTATACGGAAGAAGGAAATTGGGATTTGGTGGGAAATAACACTCCGATCTTCTTCATCCGAGACCCAATCCATTTCCCTAACTTCATTCATACCCAGAAGAGAAATCCACAGACTCATTTGAAGGATCCGAATGCTATGTTTGACTTCTGGCTTCATCGTCCAGAGGCACTTCATCAAGTGATGTTCTTGTTCTCTGATAGAGGACTTCCAGATGGATACCGTCATATGAATGGATATGGATCCCATACTTTCAAGATGGTTAACAAGGATGGAAAGGCTGTGTATTGCAAGTTCCATTTCAAGGTTAATACCTCTTATAGAAGAGCATAACACTTGGATCAATAAATCCTGTTTCAGCCAGTCCAAGGAGTCAAGAATCTGACTGTGGAGCAGGCTGGCCGTCTTGCATCTGAAGATCCAGACTACTCCATTCGTGACTTGTTCAATGCAATTGAGAAGGGAGACTTCCCAGTTTGGAAGATGTTCATTCAAGTGATGACATTCGAGCAAGCAGAGAAATGGGAATTCAATCCATTCGATTTGACTAAAGTCTGGCCTCATGGAGATTACCCGTTGATTGAAGTTGGAAAGATGGTGTTGAATAGAAATCCAAGGAATTATTTCGCTGAGGTGAGGGCTTGTTTTTCTTCGTTTATTGAGAGAAAAAAGTTGTGAAGAGATGCACTAGAAAAAAGATATTTTAAGCTGAGATTTTGCGGTTTTTTTTGTTTTTCGCTGTCACAAACCTAGATGATATGTATACCAATCGATAGAGAATTTTTCGCTCCACGAAAAATGTTGAAGAGCTTCCAGAAGTTTCTAGGAAGTTTTATCATCGATAAGATAACTAACAAATGCTTTCGATTGGCTTTTCCAGATCGGAGCCATCGGGAAACCAATAATACAGTACTGCGTGTTCAGAGCTTTATAACTCGGTGGCTTTTGAAAATTTCAAAATGTGATCAACTAAAGAAATGTTTACCAATTCATTTTAAACATTTCATCAGTTGAAAACTATTTGATAACTCTAAAGACATTCGAGATATTCTGCTCTGAATTTATAGTACTGGTTATATCTCCAATATAGGTTTCATTTTTTTTTTTGCATATCGTCTTATTGGCCTGAAGAGCATATTTTCAAAAAAAGCTGGAATTTAAAAGACATGACCTGGTTGAGCGGAAAATTCTTTATTGATTAATTAAAAATTCGTAAAAATTCCTATCTGAAAATATTCGTTAGAACTTTGGAAATCTGAGCTTTCTGGTGAAAAACTTAGATTTACCACAATTTCATATTCAAATTGACAAAATCGATATTAATCGATAAAGAATTTCTCACTTTCCGAAACAATTTGTCTGACTCATCCAGATTTACCGAAAATTTTAACACTTTTTAGGTCGAAATTAGTCAGTTTCTCTACTTGGCTCTAATTTGTTCACAAAGTCAAAAACTGATAGAAAACAACATTTTTCGATACAATTCTTCTGAAAACTATCAATTTCCATTTTCCAGATAGAGCAATCCGCCTTCTGCCCCGCCCACATTGTCCCAGGAATCGAATTCTCCCCAGACAAGATGCTCCAAGGACGTATCTTCTCCTACACTGACACTCATTTCCATCGCCTCGGACCAAACTACATCCAACTTCCGGTCAACTGTCCATACCGTTCCCGTGCTCATAACACTCAAAGAGACGGTTCAATGGCCTATGACAACCAACAACATGCTCCAAACTATTTCCCAAATAGTTTCAATTTGGGAAAGACTCGTCAAGACGTCAAGGATACCGTATTCCAAACGACTGGTGACGTGGATCGTTATGAGAGTGGAGATGACAATAACTATGAGCAACCTCGTCAATTCTGGGAGAAGGTTCTGGATACGGGAGCACGGGAGAGAATGTGTCAGAACTTTGCTGGAGCTCTCGGTGGATGTCATGATTTCATTGTTCAGGGAATGTTGGAGCACTTTTCGAAGGTTCATCCAGATTTTGGAGCAAGAGTCAAGGCTATCATTCAGGGACAGACTCGCTCTCATATTTAAACTGTTTTGTTCGTATTGCTTTATTTTGTATAGTTAATAAATAAACATTTGGTTATCATGGAAAACTACGGTAGCAGTCGTCTTAAGCTGTGTCTTGGCCCTATTTTCGTGGTGTGATATCGCTAGAGGGATATAGGTCAAAATTGTTTTTTTGTACAGTAATTTGAAAATTCGAAAATCTTAAAAATTAAAATATTCATGAAGAAAATAATTTACAAAAAAGGAATTCTGCACCGCTCCCGAGGAATCATTTGAAACATTTTCGAATTATCGTTTTGAAACTGAAAATTTCAAAATCAAATTTTATTTTTTCAAAGAAAAAATGATCAATAATCCTTTTTTCCCTTCCCCCAAACCCACAATTCCCTCTCACAACGGATGCATCCTTCTGAACTTCTCCGCCAGTCTCTGTCCCAATTGACTATCGTGTTTCATCGTTTCCCTCTCAATCAATAATTGAGGAGTCAAACTCCAATTCTTCTGGTCTTTACTCATTATACAAGACTGAATCAAAGTCTGTACAAAGACGTCTCTTTGAGCATGTGATCCTCCGATTTGAACTACTTTATCCCGAATTGGGAACATTGTTTCTGCTGCCGAGTCATAGTCGGAACGGGCGTAGTCCAGCATTCCGTCGTAGAGAGGCAGTCCGATGAGTTTACTGATTTGACAGTTGTCTTCTGAGTGGAGTCTGGAAATTTGGAGGTGTTCGGATTTTTCGGTGTACTTTAAAGGCGCATGTAGTTGTTTTGAAAAGGTCTTACCGCGATTGAGAATAATACTGTGTTTTTTATGAAAAATTGCAAAAAAAAATATGTCGATCTGGTTGAAAATATAGAATTTTTTCAAAAAAAGTTTCTACTGTATTGATAAAGAAACGTCTTACAGTGCACATTTCTTAGTGGTGAGACCCATACAGCGTCTTTAGGTTTTCTTCGTCACCGTACGGTAGCTCAATGTCTCGCCACGAAAAAAAATTACTGTAGGAATTTTGAAAACGGTACAATTAAATTTATACGGTAGTTTTCGTGGTGGGACACCGGGTCTGGACGCCGGCCACAACTGTCTTTCATACAGATTGGCATAATAGCTCGTGGTCTTACCACGAAACATTTTTACGGTATACAGTATTTTACTGTATCTTACTGTATGCTGTACGAATTTTTACATAGTAGACCGATTTCAAGCTTTGTGGAAAGCATTTTTTTTTCCCAAAAAAACGGAAAATTGGCAGTTTTAAAGAATATGTTTTTTTCTAATTTTTGCAGGAATCTCTCATTTTTCGTGGAAAAAAATACTACAGTAAGAAACCTCAATCGTGACGAAACCATCTCATTGCAAGCCTTGAAGCTATTTGAAATGAATGCCGAAAAAATTCAACAACGGTTTCCATAAAACTCACGATGAATATTTCTGCAAAGAATCCCTCAACTTCCTTTCTGTCTCCAACTCCTCTTGCCTGTACAACGCCACTCCCATATGCACATCATTGAAAACAATCGCATGATTATCAATGTATTTTCCGAGATTTGAAATCTTCCTCCATCTCTCTTTTCCCACTTTAACACCTTCTAATTCAAGTCTCCATAAAAGTGAACTGGCATCAACCATATCCAAAAGTGAGTGACTTCTATTGAATCGATTCGCCACTTCTCTATCGAATATCTCAAGAGCAGGTTCATATTCAGCGATTTCAATGTGGAAGAGAGCAGTGTGCCAGTAGTTGTGGGTGGCTATCATCCAGCCTTGCTGAAAATGCACTTATAATAGAGGAGAACATGTCATGGGCATTTTTGCAACACATAAAAATCCTACAGTAATCTTTTTTCGGTGGTGAGACCCATTCTAAAGGTACAACCCATCCCTGGGAATTCATCTTACCCTCCAATCATCTTCTGTTTTGTACATGAACTCCTTTCCTTCCTTGTGCCGCCCGTTCATTTCGAGGACGTGAGCTTTCGCGTGGGATGCCCAACAATCGAATCGATTGAGGCTCAATGCAAGATCTGCTTCTTTCTCTGCGTCTCCATATAATCCACACTCTTCTAGACCGAAGGCGTACATTCCGTGCAGGTAGCTGGAATAGTTTTTGTTGCTTGCAGAGATGACAAGAGAGTGCGGCAAGGTTTATGCCCTGAGCGTCTGTTTTTGGATATGATCGCATGGCGCAGTGGATAGCGCTGATGTTTTCCAATTTTTCAGTGCGGGTTCAATTCCCGCCAGTGACGAAACTTTTTTCTTTTTTCACCTGTAGCACGGCAAATCCTTGTCCCATTTATTGATCACTTTCTCAACTGCATTCTTCTTCCCAACACAGTTTCCATTGAAGAAATGAGCGTCATGCGAGAACTTGACAGCCATTAAATCAGTCGGATAGTCGTCAATGATTCGATCCCATTCATCAGCTGCTTCGTGGTGCTTTCTGGAAATTTAGAGACTGAGAGGAAAAACATTAGACAGATTTTCAGAATTTTCAGACCGCCGGGTTGGCTTCAAAACTCAAAAATTATTTTGACAATTCTATTCAGGTGCAAATTTCATTAGTACAGAAGCCCAAAAATGCTTACCCTCTCCCCCACAAAACTGCTGCTTTAACATGTCGCTTTTCCCTTGTGTTCCCATATTTTTCAGCGTCACGTTCCAGCTTGTTCATTGACTCGGCGAACGTGGGATCTCTAGCGGCTGCTTCTGTTCCAAGACCAGTCAGGGCGACGATGAAGGTTCGGGACATGACTGAAAAATGAAGAAGTCAGATGGGAATGACTGTAATCTGACGTGGAGGTGTAGGGTGGGGTGTTTGCGGACTTGGCATGAGATCTTACGAAGGTTTAATTTTTCATAATTATGGAGACCGGATTTGCATTTCCCATTCAGTTTTTCGTGTGAAATTGAGCAAAACAATCGCAAAATGCTCAAATGAAATCTTCACCCAACGACTCACTCCTAGCAAAAATTCTTAGAGGGTGATCTTCTTATCCCAATCAGATTGTACTTCAAGATTTTTCTTGTCAAAAACAATGCAAAATTAGATTTTTCAACAGGTATCGGGACTTCAAGGTGGAAGGTGCTTGGTAATGAAATTGACAAGTTCATTACTCTATTCTAATACCCCAATAACTCCAAAATATAAAAACTCACTTCCATCGGGATCTGCTGCAGTCATCCCTACTAATGTTTCATGAAATCCTCCCAAAACAGTACAATCCGACCATGAAACCAGTTGCCGAATGGCTCCATCTAATAGTTTCGCATTTTCATCACTGGTAGTCGAAAGTTCTAGGCCTGCTTCTTTCCATGCAGCACAACTTCTCAAATGATCTGCACACCATTCTGCCATTTCTGGAAAAAGTAAGATAGAAAGTACTGATAAAAGGGCAGGGTCAATGAGATTATAAAGAAAATCATATTGAGGGTTAGATGATGAAAAATTGAGAAGAGATTTGGTCAGTTTTGTCAAACTGTCTGGGAAGTGTTTTAGGTAAAAGAAGAGAGAAAAATAAAAGTTCAGTATCAAAAAAAAAATAATAAGAGGAAGTTCTGGATTGCACGCAATTTACAGTTTTGATAGTGAGGAAAGGTGGGAGGTCGGGAAATAGGGAATGTTGAAATTTTGTTTAAAAAAAAAATATTTTTGATAAGAGGAGTTTTAGGAAAAAATGAAAAAAAAACTGAAATTCTGAGAATCGAACATTTGAAATGTTGGAAAAATTTTGCAGAATATCTGAAATTTTAAAACGGAACTTTGAAAAGTCTGATTTTTCGAAAAATCAAAAAAATGAATTCAAGAAATTTTTTTTGAAAAAAACCTGATTTTCTAAAGTTTTATATTTCCTAGAATACGAATTTTTCAAATAAAAAAATATTTCAAATTTCAAGATTTCATGCTTTTTTTCAATTAGAAAAAAATTATATTTTTTCCAAAAAAAAAGTTTTTGTATCTCACAAATTTCGAATATTTTTACATTTTCAGAAAAAAAGTCTACCAGAGTTTTGCATCATTTTTCTAGTATTTTTAACTCTGAATATCTTTTTTTTTTCTGGAATAATCCTCCCAAAAAATATTTACCTCCCACCTAGAAAATGAATGGTTTTTCTGTTCTTCTGAAAAAGACCTACTAAAAGAAAGTGAAAACAGAACTCCAGTCAAAAGACCACATGTGAAAATAGTATATAAGACGAAGAGGCTGCAGAGAAAGTAGAGAACAAACAACCAAACACGTGCTAGTTGTGGACGAGTGATCAACACGTTCTCTTATGAGATGTTGAAAAAAAAACATGCAAAATGGGAAAAAAGGACAAAGTTTTTATAGGAATATTGTGCAAGAATAAATGATAACACCTCCGGAAATTATGTGATTTTTGCTGTTGGTCATTGATAAGAGGATGGAAAAGCAGAAAAAGCATTTTAGAAAATCGAAGGGTTAAGAAAAAGAAGAAGGACAATCTTATCAATTGGAATCACAGAAAAATTGGAGAATTGAGAGATTTAGAGATGACAGAAAAAAAGAAGAAAAACTATCTAATCTTTTGAACCTGTGTAATAAGACAGGGAAGGTTGTGGTTCTCACGTTTTCATTTAGTCGAGGAGGATGAGAGGGGAATACGATAGCATGGACTGAAAGTCGCATACCATCCCGAAGAAAAGTGTGCCTTTTGAAATTTAAAATGTGCGCTGTTTCTGGAATAAGAGCCAAGAGCTTTGCAGAATTTAAAAAAAAAGAAAAAAAAAACCTCTGTTTAGTTATAACCCAAGTGTCGCAAAAACTGATAAAACCATGTCCAGAAAATTTGAATGTTTTAGAAATGATTATTCCGAGACAAATCAATGTTTGAACCTAGTTTGTAAAACGCGAAAAACCCAAATTGTGCCGAAGCGCCGTTGGCGCGCCCTACATTTCCCGGAGGGGCATGTTCCGCATTCTGCAAAAAACTGTGCCGAAGCGCCTTTGGCGCGCAGTTCCTTATTGTAGTTTTCCTTGCCGAAGCGCCGGAGGCGCGCTATCCATATCTTTCCTTGCTCCAGAGAAAAAAAAAGAATAATTCTGACGTGCCCTCCCCGCTTTTCTTCCTCAAACGCTTCCACGTATTCATTAATTTCCAAGTGACATGCCCCGCCCCTTTTGTTGTTTACAGTTTGACCTTTCCACGTGGCACTGTCAATGTGGCTCTTTTCGAATCAAAAATCAATCAGTTCTAACAAGGCGAACCAACCAAATCTTCTCTTCTGAAGTCAAAGAAAAATCAATCAAATGATGATCATAATGAAGAACATCCTTCTCATATTCGTGCTCCTTCTGGTGTGGACCAACAACATCAACTGCGAGGAAGACGTCACGAATTGTGTAGGCGAGGATGTCAAGGACCTTCCAGACACTTGCCAAAGCATCCACACGAGGCCACTGAGGATCAATGGCAATGTAGAGGGTAAGTCAGGGGGAAAAATCAGAGGAATTCCGGAGAGCCACGTGGCATATCTCAATTTCCATGTCTTCAAATAATCATGAATTCCCTTCCACAATCTCGAATTTTCAGATTCGGTTGTCCGCTCCAAGCTGAAGCAGATCACAAAGATCACATCGGGAGTGGAGGTTTCCGAGACCCAGTTTGAGACATTCGACCTGCCAAACGTCATAATCCTCACGAGCAACGAAGGACCCGCCCTCAAATTCCATCGGAACAAGAAGCTCGCCAGAATGCAATTCCCGAAGTTGGAGCAGTTGAAGGGAAAAGAAGAGGCAATTCTCTTCGATCACGATCAATTCCCGACACTGGCAACGCAGAATAAGAAGGGGTGAGTTGAATTCGAATTTTATTTCGATCTTGAGAATCAAATTATTTTTTCCAGATTGGCGGATCTTATGCGTCTGAGGGAGGTGGCAAAGAAGACGGCTGGAAGCGAAGGGAAGGTCATCAAGAACGATCCGCTTCAAGCATCCAACATCGACACGGTTTTGTGGGCTCTCTTGGTTTTTTTCCTCATCATTGTGGTCTGCTTAGCCTGGATGGGCTATGACTGGTGGAAAGAGAGCAAGGAGAAGAAGAAGGACACGCAGAAGAAGTCAACCAAGATGCCAGTCCAGGAGAACCCCAAGAATAAGTAAAGATCCATCATGATCTCTTTTTTCAATTTATTTTTCATTTTATTTTTCAAAAGTGTTTGAAATGAATTTATGTTTGTTCCATTGAACTGTTTTTGTTTGTAAAACCTAGGGTGTCACAGAAAGGAAGGCGCAACAAACTATACGTCCTCTCTCCACGCTTTCTCTGCTGTTCTTATGGCGTAGTAGCTATCGCCGTTGTTCACAGGCAAACCGCTGCGGACGGAAAAGAATAGAGCCATATTCTCACATCCTTTGAGAAGGAGAAAAAAGAGTGCGATAGAATATCCAGCACAGGGAGTACAATAAAAGAACAATCGTCCAATACCGGCGTCACTAGATGTTTTCATGTCAGAAAATTAAAATCCATTGTTCTATTGTTATGTCAAAGTCTCATCTCTTGAAATCTGCTCGGTCTAGAATTTATGGTACAGTCAATACTCAGTATTAATCAAGTCATCATTCATGATAATCTTCATTCATTTCCCCTCAAAAATGAAAACTTCATTGTTAATCAGCAATTTCCATTTTTTTGTTCTGTCTGACCGTTATCTCTCCTTTATACAAAGTCATCATCCATCAATAATTGCTCGTGTTAGACTAATTTGAGGTGTCAGGATGCTATCAGGTCAATTTTATGAGCTTTGTTGTCTATTCAAATCAAAACCCATTCATTTTGGTACGAACAGTCCGGAGAGCATAAAAGACAGGGTACAATAAAACACTTTTATTGTCGCATCGCGCAACATCGTCCGTCTTTATTTTACGTTTTAGCAAAACCT